TAAAAATCAAAGCTTCTAAGGCAAATGTGTTCTAGAAGGCATTATTAATTATAAATTTTATTAATGTTGACAACTTTACAAGATGAAAAACTAAAGCACAAGGAAGTTATTTTTCAGAGCCTTTCAAGATTGCCATTATTCCATGAACAACGAATATTCACTAAGAGCCTGCTACATACCAGATACTGTTTTAGGTACTGGAGGACAACAGTGAACAAAACTAACACATTCCCTTATCCTCATGGAACTTACATGTGTTGATCTTACACACAAATGAATGGGTTAGTGCCCTCATGTCAAGAGGCCAATAATAAGGTTTTGAAGCCAGCTAAAATTCTTGTGTGGGTCCATAGCAAGTTATAAAGTGTCCTTGACACCATATACCTGGTTAATAGGGACTGTTCAGGGTAACATCCCGATGGTCATCTACTATCATCTACCATCAACCCCTCCGTGTTCTACAATGCGTGGCATGGCCAGCAACTGGCCAGAAGATAGGACATTTCCCATAGGTTTTCTGAGATGGTGGAAAACTTGATGCAGTTCTGAATAGGACAGCTGAGAAAAGAGAGGGTCCTTATATGCTAAAAGGGTAGCATCTTCTACCAAATAATAAAGGATTTCCAATCTATAAGGGAGAAGTTATTATTGGAAATAGCACCTTTATTTATGGGGGACAGGCCCTTGTTCAATCATCAAAGCAAACTTCACCCTAGTCCCACTGACTACCAATTAGTCATTAATTATTTCAGAGGGGATTAGCCAAAGAAAGGAGGAGGAGGAGGAAGAAGAAACAAAGGGAAGGAGGGAAGGAGAAATGGAAGGAGAGGGGAAAAGAAAACATATGGCTTCAAAAAAAAAAAAAATCATCAATGGACTTCTAGTGACAAGAAATTTAAGAATGCGTCCACATTCCCAAGTGTTTCAGCCCCAGTCACACCTCCAAACTGTCTGTGACCACAGCATGGAACTGGGAAACCGTCAAGTCCAAGATCGGAGCAGGCCTCCCCTCACCTCACCGAGGCTCCTGGAAACACCAGCCTCACCTGGCTGCCTGGTTCATCTCCTTCTTTCTGCCCCTGTGATCAGAGACTATGAGATGTCAATAGTTCAGGACCAAAGACTTTTTATTTTCAAAATTTCACCTCGAAACAAGGACAGACTGTAAGTATGTGTATGTCAGAGAAGAAGAGACACGAATTGATAAAGTTCACTGATCTTTTCAAATTGCACTTCTGGGGATGTGAGAATGAGGACGTTGCTGTGAGTCTCAGATGAACCAGGCCTTCAGTAACTGCAAGGAGCCTTGACAAGTCTCGACAGCACTGTGAGCAACTTCCATCTTGAATACAGCTACAAAATGCTAGCATTCTCTATCAGTACATATGCTGAACACAAGATGCCCCAAAATACATAGCCCAGCCCTACTTGAAAACGAGCGGAGTTGCATCAGGTAGCTTCTAGTAGCTTTCTTTACTGTCTTCATGGTTCTAAGATGGTAGCTCTGAAAACAGAAATGAAATCCAGTCCCTGCTTCTGGGAGGCTTCCTCAGGGCTCCTGCTCAGGTCTGGACAAGGAGGGTCCCAGACTTCTCTGCAGGACTCCCACTCTAAAGGGGCAAGAGTGAAGCCACTCCTCAGACTCATACGAAGGTCTTTATTTCAACTGCAAACTACACAGATCTGCATTTTTTTCAGCCCAATGTGCTACCACTGTTATACTTGCTTATTAACCCACTTACTCCCTCCTTCAAAGGCTCTCAGAAAAGAGAGTCCTGGGAAGGCTACTTCTAAGGTTTGCTCTAATAATATGTGCTGCTTACGGAGTACTGACTATGTATGAGACACTGTACTAACTATACTTTTTTATTTAATCTCCGTAACACTTTAAGGTAGATATTATTAATCCCATTTAACAGACTGGGAAACTGAGGCTTAGAAAGTCAAATTATTTGCCCAGGGTCATACTTTTGTTTAGAATCTTGGGATCTGTCCTTCCAAAGTCCATACCTTTAAGCACTATTCTATACTTGAAGGGAGAGCACCGTGGGTCAGAAAGGGCATGGGCTTCGCAGTCTGAAGCCCTGCCACTAGTTGGTGTGTGACCCTTGGTTATTTCACTTCTCTATGCCTCTGTCACTTCATCTGCAATGTGGAAATAATCATTCCCACCCTGCCTTTTCCCCAGGGTTGGAGGGGCAGTATCAACACCTGTGGCTGTGCTCTAAAAAGTAAGTCCCTTTCTCTTGGACGAACTTCCTTGTCCTCTGCTCAAGGTTGGGAATGAGAGGTAGGGTGGGCGAAGAGTTACAGAAAAAGGAGGTCTGAAGCTAAGCCCTGTGTCTTCTTTTCAAATGTTGTACTTGCCTTTTGTTAACGGTATGGGGAAACATGGACTCTGATGTTTGAACACGAATTCTACTAATATTAAAGTTATCCAGACATGAAATTAATCCAAATAGGCAAACACATAGTATGTGCTCAATAAATACCTAAAGAAAGGGCAGAAGGAAGGCAGGCAGTGAGCAGACAAAACTGGCATTTTCTCTTGATCTCTTTTAGGCTGTGCCATTTCATATCCTATGCATGGAACTAATTGCTTCTCTGAGTCTATCAAATTAATTTGGCCAGAGTCATTTAATTTCACTTTGTCATTAGTGATGATAAAGAACTTAAAAGCAACACAGTGACAATATTCTTAGCCAAACCATTATATTCTATAGTTTGAACAGCCCTATGATTTTTCCCAACTGAGGCATCAGGCCAGGATTGGCCTATTTTCTTGAAATTTCAAATTGCCTAATTGAAGCAACACTCATGGAGACCGAATACACACACACACACACACACACACACAGAGCTTATCTAAAAAGGAAGTTACCAAGAGTACCTAATAAAATCCTAGCACACATGTTTATTCCTACAGTCATTGGTTAACAAAATGCTGATGCAGAAAAAGATCCTTAACAACCTACTAGTGAGGACTTTGGGGAACTCTTGGAAGAAACACACGCAGAGCTTAAGACGCGAAAATGAATTTATGATGGTTTGCTTAAAAGCAATACTTAAATAAAGAAAATAAAAGACAGTAAGTACAACTAGATGGGATCTCTAAACATACAGTGGGGATTTGGGTGTACACAGAAAATGAAACATTCATCATCCTGCATGAAACACACCTGTGGCTGAAGCTCACAAAATTAACCCATTTTCCCCACTCTTAAAATTGCTAAAAAGAGCAAAAAATGCCAATAGAGATCAGCTCAAAACATTTTTAACATTAGGAACGTAGTGAATCCTATCTATCTCGAAGGCCACCTGTAAGGAAAGCCAATCGAAGGATGGCATTTGTGTTCAATCACATGGCATCATCACTCCAGTGCCTGAATCTATTATAACTCAGACCCAGGTCTGTAAGGATGAGTGGCTGCCTCTGGAAGGGGACAAGGGGAGCAAGAGAGGAGGAACAGAGCATTTCTCCTGCCATTCCCAAAGCCTTTTCATACCCTCCCCCTCCCATCCCGGAGGCCTCCAACAGGCTCCACCCTAGTTGCAAATGGGCCCCAAAGTTAAACTTCTGGAAGAGACCTGGGAAATGTACATAGTCAGAAATGGAGGGGTTGTGTGTGAGGCCTGGGGGCGCTGCGTGGCTTACCTCTGAGATCTTTCTCCTCACCTCAATCCTGCTAAAACTGTTCATCATAGCACAATGTTCAGATGCAAAATGTTTCCCCTCAGAGTCAGAGGGCTTTACGTGAAAAGTATTACATTGTCAAGAGATCATTCATTTCTGATTGAGATGGCATTTGGAATACCAAACACTGGGCACAAAATCAGAGCCTATTAATACTTACCAGAGACAAAAGTAAATAAACACAAAGGTTTAATTAACCCTATGCAACAGAAGATGGAGACTGAATGGGTACCATGCCCCATGATAAGCAGGATACAGGAAACGCAAAGAACCCCCAATAAATGTATTGTTTTTTGTGGGGGGAGTGTAGTGGGGGAGTAGCTACAACTTTTATTGTACATAGGATACCAGGAATTACATAAGAAGCTGCATTGCAAATGTTGGACCCAATAAAAGCAATTGAAATTGATTCTGGAATGTGGTTAAAGTACTTTATCTAGTCTATTAATAAATAAGAAGATCTTTCATTAGTTGGCAGGAGGACAGTTGCTACTAGCCAACTTGATTTTCCTGAAAACAGCAAAGACTTGCATGCACTTTTTTCAAATTAAAGCCCTAAAGTCCCAAAGTACTGTTTCTGGAAACAGAAGTTACCATTCAGTGTCATACTTTTCCTGAACAGGCTGAGAAAGTCTCCTTTCACCTGTTCCCCAACATGGGGGGGGGGGGAAGAAAGTGTGTATTTCCAATATTTTTTATTGAAACTTTTTTTAAAAGTGAAGAGTTTAGAAACCTCATGATAAATCAGAAATTGTTGATCAAGAGTGATCACCTAAGGAGAATGAAAAAATGAAATTATCCTTCCAGGCCACCTTGGGTGGCCTACACTTGTAAACCTGAAACAACCAAGATTCTTCACTATTCAGCGAAGGTACCTAGAAGATTTAGTAAATGAGCTTAACAAGATGCCCTATAGCTTGGAGCAAGAAAGGAAGTCAATTGTATTTATCCCTGACTGAGGAATCCGCCTCATCCTCCCTTCCCACACAAGGCTACATCTGGGCTGGCTTGCTAGTCTCCAAACTCAGTTGAGACAGCACCAAGAATCAGTCACCTGCGAGGTGCCAACCACCTTCCAAGCATGCCCTCTCCCCTCTCCACTCCCAAAGCCCGACCCAGGACTGCATTACCTCTGGGGGCCAAAGAGCAAACAGACCTTCAAAAGAAAAAGAGGGAGAAGTGGGTCTGCATTATATAACAATGTACAGCAAATAAGGCTTCTAGAAAACGAAAGTAGAGAAAGGAGGGGCAGGGGTCGGGGGAGGCGAGGGGAGCAGGGCGTCGCGGAGCTTTCGCTGCCACTTACTCGAAGGCGAAGAAGAGTCCGCTAGTGACCAGGATGAGGATGAGAGTCAAGTAGAAGACGCCCGTCTGCCGGGCCATCATGATCCTGCCGTTGCAGAAGAACTTGTTTCTTCCCGGGAAAACCTCCCATTTCCTCCGGGCCGCGATTTTCTTCTTCTTGTGGGGCGACTCCATGGGGGAGGAGCTGTGGGTGCTGATCTGACTGTACTCGCAGTCTTTCATGGGCCCGCCGCCGCCGGGAGGCATCCACGAGGGCAGCCGGCTGGGGGCGCACGCCCCCAGAAGCCCCCCGGCCGCGC